CGCATATGGGGGTTTCCCAAAAATAGGGGTTACCATTCTGGGGGTCCCATTATGAGGACTGTAGTATATGGGGGGGTTATATTGGTGTCCACATATTTTGGGAAACTGGGGGTGGGGCGGGGATACATCATCAGAAATGTCATTTTTTTGTGAATTATGTATGTATGCATGCATGCATATATGTATGTATGTACCATATAATGATCTGTCATAACATTGCAGGTATTATACCACGACTTCATACAATGATCTGTGACACTAGGGAGTTGGAGGTTACCATCTGGGGGAGAGCGTTATGTCTGCCTAAACCCTACTAAAGCCTAAACCCTAAACCATACCCTAAGGCTCTTGGACCCCCAAAGTGGGATCCCAAACCTTAGCCCCCAAAGCCCAAACCTTCCCCCAGAAAGCCCCAAATAGTCCTAGGAGCCTTAGGGTAAGGCCTAAACCCTAAACCTTGGTCCCTTGGGGTCAGACAGCTCTTGGCTTCGCCCTGGCAGTGGTCGCATCCTGACACATCCCAACCAACCCAAGTGAACGCAGACGAAGACCTCAATAGTATGTAGTCCCCCTTAAGTAGATAGAATATGGCATAGGGTGTATTATAATAAGATCCCCGTATACCGATTGTTCTATCTACTTGATTAAGGGGAAATATATACTTGGGCCCCACAGTTCCTCTGTAGGAGCTCATTTGGGCACGAATGCAGTGTAATGATACGTGACCACCTTGGCAGAGGATCAGGATAATTACGGCCCAAGTATATCTCGTACTGTAATAGGGTTTAGGGTTGAGGGTTTGTAATCGCTACGGGCACATCAGGAGCCTTACGGGGTGCCCATCAATGAGTCATGAGTACGCGATCAATTTGTGACCTCGTATAGTTACTTTTCGATGCCAGGTCTCGAGCAAAACATTCTTGGGTCAGGGTCTTAGTACGTAGCTTCAGAATAGGGAAAACCGGGGTTGTTCTATGGCTTGTAGGGGTTATTTCCAAATCTCCATGACCCTTCAAGTAGGTCCATGACCCTTCAAGTAGGTATTGCAGGGTGACGTCGGCGCAAGAAAAGGGGCCCTGAAGGAGCACGTGGTTATACCCAAAGGGTTCATGTAGCCATATAGGGGCATATAGTATATACTTACGGCCCAAAGGAGCTCCAATATGTAACTACCTTAGGGCCCAAGTGTATACTAGATGGCTATGGGTTTAGGGTTTAGGGTTTATAGGGTTCAGGGTTTAGGGTTTAAGGGTTTAGGGTTTAGGGGTTTAGGGTTTGGGGCTTTTGGGATTTCGGGACAACTATGGACCGTGGGCTCCTGATTGGGGATTGTATGCATGCGGCTTACTGGAGAAATGTCACAGTCTCTCCTACAGGCAGGCGGATGCACAAATAGCGATCGGTCCATACACGGTCAACGAACCTATGGGGATGCTACACGTTAGGGTTTTTGTTTGTAGGATTCAGGGCTTGCACTTCATTTCTCCTTAACAACTATGTCTTCATTCTTTCCTTAAAAAATGCACCCCATGTGAATGACACGGCATGCTACCAAGGTTTTGCAGGGCTGCTGACGCATCCTGGTTGCAATGGCTTGCCTGTTTTCTTTTTTTTCCACATTCTTCTCAAACCCTGCGCCTTGCCCAAAGGATCCTCAATTACCTATATAGGGATACTGGTCCAAACCCTACTACGAATTCCAAGCATCGAAGCCTTACTTTAGACCATATACGTATATACTTAGGATCCTTTGGATTGTTGATCCTAGGCTTTCGGACTTGCTCATGCATGGAAACGCAAGCGGTGGTTTCCCAAAATTAGGGATGTGTTTTTTGCTGCGGGGTGTCCCTATAGTGGGGAGTATAGTGTAATCGGGTCTACATTACTTGGCCTCCCCAGGTAGCTACGATCAAGTATCCCAAGTTAGAAAGCCCGACCACCCCTTGCCACAGTGTGTACCTGCGTATACTATACCCTCCGCTATCCTGTATTCAGGCCTTACCTGAAATTTGGGGCCCGGCCCTATACCTTCAGGGTACTAGGAGGGTCCTGGTGCAGATTCGCAAGAGTGAGAGAGTCTCTGCCATGTCCACATCTTCCTAGTATAGCCATCTGTCAAATGGTATGCTGAGATTATGCATGGGGTTTCCCAAAACCAGGGGTACCATTCTCTGGCTGCAAATAATTGATGGGGATAAGCGTATTCAGGACCCATATTGGGATCCCCCTATTTTATTGAAACAGCCGCATGAGTCTGCCTGCTTTCCATATGACATGCTGTACGACACGTCTTAGTCTTCACTTCAGCCAGCTGCGCAGAAAATTGGGCGAATGAGAAGAAACTCAACTCGAGTATAGTTCATATCTGTTGAGGTCTGCTTGAGGTAGCCTATGCCGTGATAATGCAAGAAACTTGGGAGTCTAATAATGTTGCGCTGCATTTAACCCACGGGTTGCTTCCCCCGCCCCACAGTTTAGGGTTTAGGGTTTAGGCCCAAGGGAAATGGAAGATTGCGTCTTGAATACGGCTCCCACGGTACTGAGGGCTCTGGGGATTACTTAAAGGTGATGGTCTGAATTCTTCTAGCGGGCCCCAAAACGAAAGACGTTAAACATGGTCTTTCAACAAGAGCGTGAAATACAATAAGCAGCAACCAAACCACAATGAACAAGGTCTCTTCAACAAAGCCAGTGCAGCGTTAAGTATGCAGTCGTCCACACCACATGGTCCAATTTGGATTCTTGAGCATCTCCAGTTTCATGCTGAGATCGAAGCCGACATTGCGCTTGCTTCGCTACACCGGTGCTGTTGGAACATGGGACTGCTTGCGATATCGTCGTATAGACTGTACAGATGGTGGATATTTCCTCAGCCCAGGAACCCATTCTTTGAGGAATTACCCAGACCCTTCAACTACCCTCTATTCACTAATAAGTGCTTACTATGAGGGGTCCTACAGCCCCAATAATGGGTACTAGGCGTGTCCTGATAGGGTGTCATCATATACGCACTCCCGAGCTGAGGTATGTGGCTGGGATGCTATGCTTCAGCTGCAATATCACGTGGTTCCACTACCTGGTGCTGGACGGTCCAGCCTGCGAGTTGCGGGGTGTTTGCAAGGGCGCGCCTTATTGACCAAAGGGTCCGTGCAGCTATGTAGTATATGTACTTGGGGCCCAAAGCCGTTCCCATAAAACTACTGTAGGGCCTCGAGCGTATACTACAAAACTGCATGGACCCTTTGGGTTTGCCTGTCTCTGCTCAAAAGAAAAGCACGTGACACTGGATGTTCATGCCTGGACATTGTGATGTTTTCTGAATGTTCTGCCATGGCTCTGATGTTTTTTTCTTGGGATGCTCTCCCACCTACGGCGGCGTCCGAATGGCAAACAGCATACTTATAGTCCCAGATTGAATTTTTTCGGGCCTGGCCGAGCCTGGTACAGGGTAAGTGAATACCCTTAGAGCCGAAGAACTACCCGACCCATGCAGCACAATGCTTTATTCATAATGGCTATTGAAGTTACACCATGGCCCGAAACTTAACCCAAGCCTGCAAATCGCGACGGCCAAATCTGGGGCTTAGACCTTGGATCTTCGACCTTATACCCTGAATGTGGGTGCTACCGCCAGTTCTTGCCAGGGTCCGGCGACCAACTGCTGGACAAAGTGCTGCGTGCCTGGGCTACGCATGTCGGGAATTTGGCGGAAATCGTTGCAGCAGGGGCAGGGGAATAGCAGAAGGAGGAGGATGAAGAGAAGCAGGAGCAATACGATGGGCAGGAGACGCTGCCGTTGCCGCCGCCGCAGCAGCAGCATGTTATGAGTTTGTGCAACCGTCAGGTGAAGAATCGCTCCATCCATTTGCCGGAACTGCTTGATCAAAGGTAGTTGTAACACGTTGCAACATAGTTTGAAGCTGACTGCGCATTAGTATTGTGGCACAAGCCAAGGTAGTTGTATGGGAACCTCTTTGGGCCCTGAGTGCATTATATACTAGATAGCAACATGGACCCTCTGGGTTGCAACACGAGGAGGAGGAGGAGGCAGAGGAAGAGAGACAGGGAATTAAGTTGCAATTCTTGAAGGCTGCGGGATTCAGAGTGTGAAAGGTGCCGGATTAGGAACGTTCGTGTTTTTGCCATCACAGACGGTGCAATGCGAGTCCGTGCTTCAAAGCAGCAAGTTCGCCAAACACAGCCAAAAAATGTTCCAAGCAACAGGCTACTTGGAGAGTCTAGTAGTTTCCATGTTCTTTTCCATGATGCCCAGGTAACCCCTATGCAACCCTAATATTACCCCAACAAGTCAAAGTAGTAGACCCTAAACCCTAAACCTTAACCGTGTGATAGGTCCAGAGTCCCCAGAAGCGCTCCGACGGACCTCTGAACGTTGCACTGTCATGTGAGCTATAGTCTAAACTCCTTAAAGGGGGTTATATAGGGGATTATATTGGGGACTATTATGAGGCTTATTAAGGGTGATACTAGGAGTTTAGACAATGGTTCATGTGAGAGTTTACAGAAACAAGGGGTTCTTTTCTGGGTATTGAGTCGCCAGGGACGGTAATATTTGGGGCTACATAAAGCCCTAAACCCCTAAGCCCTATCTTTTTTTTTAACCCCCAGGCGTTTCAACCTGGCCTGTATCAATGTCGCTCATAATTAGCACCCACCATCGTAGGGTCTAGGGCTTAGGGCTTAGGGCTCAAGCCCAGGCCCAACACAGAGAGGAATTGAAGCTGGCTTTAAGCTTACAAAAACCAACAAAGATGTTTAACGCTATCCATCCCAATCATCCAATCATCGCTTGTCAGTGTAGTGCTTGGACTATACCTCCCTCAGCTACCAGCAGGCAGTTCATAACGACCTGACCCATCTCACCCAAGGGTTTATAAGGTTTTAGGGTTTAGGGTTTAGGGCCCAATGACTTCGCCTCTTATTTTGAATGCTTGAACTCGGCCAGATTGCTAATTACCAAGCTGTTGCCCAAGTCCAAGGTGTGCGCATGGCTCCGATTGTGTGTCTGGATCTATGGGCCGGGCGTTTCCCGTATTGTCTGTTAGGGCTTGGGCTTCTAAATTTGGGTTTTCGGGCTGGGGGCTTACGGCAGCTTCGGTGCTCCAAGTCCATGATATCACGAATGCCTACATTGGGCCCCAAAGAATATCACAATTTTTTGTTGTTGCTACCATCATGATTATGAGTTTGATTCCTCCTACTCCTACTCTTCCTCTCAACATCATATGTATTACGCTGTTCAGTAGACATACATAGACATATATGTATACATACATGGCAAAATATATGGTAAACATTTACATGTATATAAATGTATATATGTATATATAAAGATATACTACCGACTTTGGGCTGTTTGGAGACTATGGTTAGGGTCTCTGCCACATCAGGTCCCAGCACGCTTGAAATTCCTCAGACCCTAAACCCTAAACCCTAAACCCTAAACCGCTCATAGGTGGTGAAGGATTTCCAGCATTCGCAATCGTTGATTGGCTTGGTGTGCGGGTTCAGGCTATGGGTTCTTCACAACAATTATGCCAGCACAGCCCATGCAGAAGCGAGATCTTGAAACAAGGAGGGGCTTTGCAGCTAACATGTTAGCACACTATCGTTTTAGGGCGGGCGCGGACATAATCCGTTTGTCTCTATACGGTTGCAAATCCGTAGGCTTGCGCTCGAGGAGAACGCTCCCACGGAATTTCTCATATGATCTTGCAATATTTCTGAAATTGTGCAATCTTCTGGCTGTGGCTTAAGAACTGGTTGTAGAAGTGAAATTCCGGTCTTTTGTGCGGCATTCGTGCCTGGCTAGGGTAGCCCCTCAACTCAAGGCTCCTTTTGGAACATGGAAAGGGTTTTCTGTATGTAGTGGTACCTTGAATCAGGGCTATAGGGCCCCAATACTTGGGCTTGAATAGAGGGTAGTTGAAGGGTCAAGGTATGCACATGCATACGCAGAGTTTACAGGCGAAATGGAGATGTCGCCTAACGTCGCCTTGCCGACCCAGTAGTATTCCCAAGCCTAAACCCTTATGTCGTTACCTGCTCTATCGCCCAACTAACATGGAGTCCCAATGAGCACCATTTAACAAGAGAATAGTCTTTGTGCTGCCTTGCTTGTAATTTCATGTTAGCTGGTGGGAGTATAGCCATGTGGCAAAGTAGGCGGGGTTGACCTACCTGATGGATTAGATCCAAGGTGTATTCTGAAGCCCAAGGACCCAAGGATTTAAACAGTTTAGGGTTTAGGGCGTGTAGGGTCCAAGTGCTCAATATTGGGTGCTTGGGGCTTGGGCACCAGCAATTGTAGTACAGGCTTTGGGGAGGGGAAGATGGTTAGGCACTTTGACCCTGCGAGCCACAATTAGGGCTTGTGGATCAGGATCCATACACACTGCAAAGAAATTTCGCCAGGACAACGCTTACACATCTTTGAATTCATGGTAGCAGCTAGAAGAGTTGCAAGAGCATCAACAAGTACCAAACGATTAGGTACTATGAAGTTGCTGTGATATTCAGACCAGCTAACGCATAGGGCTGGCGTTTCTGCCAGGCCTTATGCCAGCCGTTCGGCAAGGAGGTGAACACATTGAAGCAAGCCATGAGGCAAGGGATTGGGGTTTATGGGCTTAGGATCTAGGGTGGAATTGAGACTTGGGGTTCAGGGGTTTACAATGTTCTAAATGAATTCCCGTTTGGTCCTCTTCGGACTTTCGTCCTACCCTTAACCCTAAACCCTGAAGTCCCTGAAGCCCTTTTCGAGGTGTCCCATGTTATTTTAGGAGTGGAATACGCCCAGCATTTCTGAACATTGAAGAAAGGGTAGACCATGGTAGACCTAGAGTTAAGGGTTTAGGGTTAGGGTCGTAACCACCACGCCCACACAAAGGGTTTTTGTACCTGATACCTTGGGACCTCTACCTCTGCCAGGACCCTCCTAGAGTCCTTAGTTGGGGTTATAGGACCCCTACCAAGTGTGTAATAAGCCTGAACAGAAGGTAGTTGGAGGGTCTACGTAGGTTAACCCAGACCCTGATTAATAAACCCCCTCCCCTTTATTAAGGCCCTTTAAAGGAGGGGGCTTATTAATAAGCCTTAAACCCAGGTGGAGGGTCTAGCTAGGTTACTCTAGCGTCGAGGTTCTGTGGGCAGGAAAGTTAGGTACTTTGGCTGTCAGGTTCAGAGTTTTAGGGTCTTTGGTTTAAGGGCTCAAGGTTTAAGGTTGAGAGTTTTAGCGTTGTAGAGTTTCAGGGTTTCAGGGTTTTAAGGTTTATTGGTTTCTCACAATCACACCCACAGAGTCCTAGTTTGGGACCCCACATAATCCCCCTTCCTATAGGGTACCTTAGGGCTCCTCTCTGTGGAAAGCCGCCATATGAGCTGTAGTCATAGTCTGAACTCCTTGAAGTGGGTTATACAGGGGACTATGTAATATGCCTTGTGGGCCCCGTAAGCTAAAGCCTGCAACTTCAAGACGGACCCACGTTGCAATATGTGGAGGGTTCTGGGCCCTAAACCCTACGCCCTAAAGCCGTGGGCACGGAAGGAAAGGCTTCTTGACCGTGGTTCTGGGGACAGAGCAGTCCGGGTTCGCATGTGTTATTCTTCGTTCTCTCAGCAGGGAGGAAACTGAGAGATTACTACCCAGCCCCTTCTATGATTTTTTTTTGGCTGGTATATTGTAATCCCTTACCAAAAGACCATAACATACCCAAGAAGGAACTACATAGGAGCCCTTGGGTATAGCTGCGGTTCTGAATTCTGAGGAGCAGGGTGAGCATGCACTCCAAGCCCGAAACAACAAGCCGTGTCATAGATATTGATACCGCCCCAAAGGATCCTATGTACCTATATGGTATAAAGTAGGGCTTCTATACTAGGAGTTAGTAATGTCCGTACCCCCTATATAGGTACTTAGGACCCTTTGGGACCATGTTAGCTGAAGCGCAGTGGGACTCACAGTTGGGCCTGTCATAGCCCCCAGCACTCCGATGCTTAGTTTTGCGACCCCTTTAGGACCAACAACTTGTCGCATAAACCCTGAAACCCTGAAAGCCTTAACCCTGAAACCCTCAACCCTGAATCCCTAAACCCTGAAACCCTGAAACCCTTAGCCCCTAAACCCTAAACCCTGAAACCCTAAACCCTGAAACCCTAAACTCTGAAACCCTACACCCTGAAACCCTAAACCCTAACATCCGTGCCGATCCCAGCCACCTCGGACAAGGCCCTCCAAACTGCCATGTATGCTTCCCCTGAGGACTCCTAGCTACATAAGTAGTAGGATACTGGGCTATGTAGCTATAGGGTATATAGAACCCAGTTCCCACTATTTAGGTAACTGGAGGATAGTAGTTTCCATTTTCTTTTCCATTATCCCTACATAATTCCTATATTATACCCCTATCTTAGTCGAGGGACCCCTTTGCGATTGACATTTTGTCGCATACACCACATCTCTGATGGTAGAAGGATTCTCGAGGTAGGTCATAGGTGACGCTTGACTCTGTACCTAGACACTCCAACTACCCCTATTTTCAGGCATAACTAACCGCCACTAGGCCCTAAACTGTAAACCGTATAGCCCTGAACCCTAATCTCGAAACCCTAAACTCTAAACCCCTATAGCCCCAATAAAGGGTACTAGGAGTTCCCGGTACTGTAAAGTGCCTGGACTCCTTCCCTTGAAGTACGCCATGTCAGCCAGGGACTCCGTTGTCGCCCGCAATGCTACGCTTTCCGAAGAGGCTTAGGGTTTAGGGCTTAAGGTTTGGGGTCTAGGCTTTAGGGTTTAGGGGCTTCAAACACTCCTTTGACATTGGATTTGCAGAGTTTCAGAATTAGTGTAAGTTTCTCGTACCTTTAATCCATATACCACCCCTGAACCCTAAACCCCAAAGCCCTAAACCCTAAACCCCCATAAAGCCGTAAAAGGAAGGAGTTTTCTATTGGGGCCCCCCAAAAGCAGCGTAATGTTGGGTTTAGGAGTGCAAGCGTCAGGCCTGAGCCTAGGTTCAAAGGGTTTAGGGTTTAAGGGCTTTATAGGGTTTAGGGTTTAAAGTTTAGGGTTTGAGGGTTTAGGGCTTTAGGGTTGTAGGGTTTAAGATTTAGGGTTTTAGGGTTTTAGGGTTTAGGGCTTTAGGGTTGTAGGGTTTAAGGTTTAGGGTTTTAGGGTTTTAGGGTTTAGGGTTTAGGGTTGTAGGGTTTAAGGTTTTAGGGTTTTAGGGTTTAGGGTTTGGGGTTTAGGGTTTCCAAATTGTACTTTGTAGGTACAAATACCAAGGCTATGGCTCTTCTGACAAGGTTTATACCGGTAGTTGTACGCGTATTCTAGAGGGCAGCGTTTGTGTCCCTGATTAACACAGGATTCAGAAACCCTACCCAGACTCCCAAAGGGATCTAAAAATTAGATCCCCTAGAAGACTATGGGGAATTATATAGGGATTATATAGGAGTTACTATGGCTTTATATAGGGGATCTTTTTTTTAGATCCTCCCAGGGGTCTGGGTAGCCCTAAACATAGGACTCATACCTGGATTCTCCGACTACCCTCCATTTAGGTGGCGCTGCTAGGGGTCCTATAACCTCAATTGTAGATACTAGGAAGGTCCTGGTAAAACGATACACCTTAAACTTTCAAACCTAAACCCTTAAAGCTTCGACTTGAAACCCTAACCCTAAACCCTAAGCCGTAAACCCTAAAACCCTAAACCCTAAAACCCTAGAACCCTAAACCCCAGCACCTTTTGCGGGGTCGTCACTTGTTTGTTGACCTTCATCCTTTGGGCTTCCAGGTTCCACAGAGGGTCCAACCAAGTACTCAAAGATTTTTTTTATTGCGTCCCTTTAAAAGGAGTTATCGTTTAGGGTTTAGGGCTTAGGGTTAGGGTTTATGGTTTAGGGGTCTAGGGTTTAGGGGTTAGGGTCTTAAGCCCCTTTAAAAGGAGTTATAGGGACGTAGAGAGGCATGCAGGGCACATAGGGATGCATAATAGATATTGATAGGGATATGCATGGATATGTAGGGATTTACAGGGATACATAGGGCTTGAGGTTGAGGGTCTAAGTACGCAATCAGTGAGTATTGGGCATTTCGGCACTAGCAGACTAGCAATCGTAGCACAAGCTTCGGGGGAGTACATGGGTATGGGGCACTTGGACACTTAGGGTTCTTCTTAGATGCTCGGAAGGCATTGGAGGTAACATTCTCCTGGCATTTCGGTAGTTCCCAAATTTAGGGTCCCATTTTAGTACCCCGAAATTCTCGGTGCTGTAATATAATATATACCAGAAAGGGGCCCATAATTTTGATAACAACCCGGAATACCCCTAAACCCTAAGCCCTAAACCCGAAATCCTAAACCACTACCCCCTTTTTTGCACCTTGTAATGGCGTTGCCAATCTCAGGGAAACATCACGAAACTTCAAATTGTGCTGTTTGGGAACTTGCAGACTTGAAGCTGCTTTAGGGTTTACGGTTTAGGGTTCAGGGTTTAGGGTTTAGGGCTTAGGGCTTAGGGTTTAGGCTGAGGGTTTAGGGTTTAGGGCTTAGGGGTCCAAGAATTCCCTTGCTGACATATTTCGTGAAGCCTATCTTAGGATTGAACTACTGGGCTGCTGTTAAGGAAATTTCTTTAAGTTACTTTATAAGGAGAACTATATTGGTTACTATATATACCCATTTTGGTAACTTCATCTAAGACAGCGAACCAGGCTATAGGGTATTGGGCTCACTTTGGTATGAACTGGCCGCGCCTGGGCTGAGGCTTCCCAAGTCTGTTACCTTTGCATTTGTTTGAGTTGAGGGTGTGTATACGCATATGCATACGTACAGATACGTGCATCAAAGCTATGTATGTACACGACATGTGTATGCAGGACCCATCTATTCCGTATAGATATATGCATATATATATATATATTCGTAGATATTTGAAAATAGAACCGGCTGCCAGAACATGGATCTTTTCACAGACCAGCAGTCCCTGTGCGATTGGATGCACGACGAGGCAGCAGATCTTGGTTGCTGGCCTGATACTGGTTTAGGGTTTAAACGGTTTAGGGTTTAGGGTGCTAAAAGTTCTCCCAAAGGGTCCATGTAACCATATATTAACATACTTAGGGCTCGAAGGGGTTCCTATACAGCCACTTTGGAGCCCAAGTATATACTATATAGCTACATGGAATGACCGGAGGTACATTGCTTTGTATAGTATACATCATGCAGGGTTTCTAGCATCAGCAGTAGACTAGGTTTTCTGGGTTGTAGGTCCCATGAGCTTGTATAGGTAAACCGACCTCATCAGACCCGAAAAGGACCTCAAGGGTGTGTCAAGGATTGAAATGGCGACTGACGAATAGCCAGTTCTGCCACGTTCCTGAAGATGGTGAAGTACTTGGAATCAAGATGAAGCTGATACAACGACTGCGGTTACTTCTCTTGCTCGCAGTCAACTTGTTAATACAGCATTACCACAGCTAATGCTGCCTGTAGTCCTCGTGTGATGCATGTTTACAGAGCATGCGAGGTAGTTTTGTTTAAGTGGGTTCTGGTGAGTGTATACAGGGTTCATTTATAAGGTGGGTGTAGATATTTGGTGTCCATTTTGGGGGAGCCTGCAATTGAAATCTTGTATGTATTTTAGGACTCCCATGCCTAACGTAGAGTGATTACATCCAAGACGCTGCACCCTAACTGCGCCAGCAGCACACAGACCAAAGGAAACCAGGGTATAAGCAAGCCAAGGTGTGACCTAACTTTAGGACCCTCTTACTGTTGATACTAACAAAACCTGCCGGATCTTAGTATACCGCCATAATATAGGCCTAAATAATCACCAATATGGTGGTTCCATTTTCCTTCTATAATTATGGTCTATGGTACCTCAAAGGGACTTCGAAGTGATATTGGTAATTACTTAGGCCCCGGTAGTACCAGAATTTCGTAGTATCCGCCGTATTGCGGAGTGTGACCTTGATTTGTGCACGGCCACTAAACCCTAAGCCCTAAACCCCAAGCCCTAGGCCCTCAACCCTAAACCCTAAGCTTGTAGCATGCACTTCTGTTTCTAAGCCGCCCAAAGAGGAACATTCGCCCTCAGCCTGATATGGAAGCTCAACAGGGACCCTACAAAGAACGGATAATGGAAAAGAACATGGAAACTACAGGGGTTATTGGGAGTATATAGGGATTATAGGGTATATATTGGGGTTATATTGGGAGAATGGAAAAGAAATGGAAACTCCTATACTATGATAGGGTGTCATAGGGGGGTTATGTAGGGTTTTAGGGTTTAGGGCCCAAGTTTTAGGTTTAAGGTTTTGGGGGGGTATAGGTTAGGTGGACCCGGCACCCTGTAATAGTGATGTGGGTGGTTGTCAAAATCCTGGTCCCTTGTTGGATCCCTATCATACCACCCAGATAATAGGAATATAAAAGGACCCGAATATAATTACCGTTATCCTTTATAGTCACTGTTACTGGGCGGAGGGTCCACCTAAACTATTGGCTCTTTTCAGGGGGCTGTACAGCCTTCCATTTTGCCTTGGGGCTCTCTCACCACACGCAGTTTGCACATGACTGTCAACAATACGAAGAGTCATAACAATCCTCGACCCTGCAACTACCCTCTACTCAGGCCTAAGTACCCACTGAGAGGGGTCCTAGAATCCCACGTAAGGCCACCAAGCCCAAAACCCTCAACAATAAAATAGTTGCCATGTTCTTTTCCGTTCCCCCATGTACCCCTATATAACCCCAATTGAGCAATAGTCTACACTCCTTGAAGGGGGTTATATAGGGGATTATTCTAGGGCTTATTCAGGGGCATACTCAGAGTTTAGACCCTAAACCCCAAACCACAGACCGCAAAACCCTAAACCAACAGCCCTTCCTCATCGGCACAGGTAGCCTTGCATCCCTTCCGTTCACGAAGCAAAGAGGCGAAGTGAATCTGCATGCAGTCTGCCCAAAGAGCCCCATTCAATTATAGTCTGAACTCCTTGAAAAACCTTGTATAGTGTTTAGGGTTTGGGGTCGAAACTCCTCAAAGGGCCTTGTGTAGGGTTGAGGGTTTAGGATTTAGAGTCTAAACTCCTGACATAAAGGGGGTTGTATAGGGTTTTTTAGGGGCACTGCTATAGGGGTATTTAGAGGGATACTAGGAGTCTAGAGTAGAGCCCATTTGGGGTGTCATGTAGACCGATAGTTAACGAATCCCTGCTGCTTTATGGCCCTTATGATTCGGATCCTGATTATAATCCCTATTAAGGGGAGAAGGTTTATTTATCAGGGTCTACATTAGGGTTTAGAGCCTATATCCTTACGCGCCCAAGTATGTAGAAATTGACTAATTGGGTCTAAGTAATAGTCATTCACTATTGGCTTTGGGCAAGATGTGAATATTCAGTACTTGAACCGTAAGGATACAGTTTATACTCAGAACGCGAAGTACCTATATAGGAACCCGCATCAACCCCAAGTATATACTCTACGGGTACCTGGGATTTTGGGTTGTTCATAACTGCATATCTGGGGAGATGTGTGGCCAGGCCCTGGAGGTGCGCTGGTAGTTTCCTCTTTTCACCGAAGCCCTAAACCATACAAAACACTAAAACTCGTTCCTTCTTGGTGTCAGCTACACTGTGTACAGCGACCTATCATCAGAACACTGCAAATTGCCTGGGCCCATTAAGACACGTTGTGCTGCTGCCAATCTTTCAGAACTATGAAGGCACGATGTGTATAGTCCCCTTAAGTAGATAGAACATGGCTTTGAGTATATTATAATAAGATCCCCATAAACTCCATATTCTATCTACTTAAGGGGACTATAGTCTTCCCCAAAACAATTAACAACTGCCAGCCTCTGATTTCTGGACGGGCACAATCCAGCATCGCCCTGAACCCTCTGAATTACAGTTTTTGCGTATGCTGAGAGGCGCATGCTATCTCCCATCTACATCACGACCCTAAACCTGGAGCCCTGAAACCTGCTGTCCGAGCGTACCATGCTAACAGTGGACTTCCGCCGGCAGGAAGATCACAGCGCACGGGCTGAAGAAGAGATGATTGCATGAATGCATCCGCCAAGGGGACGGGAAGTGCCTGTGCGACCTGACGGGCTGGATCTGGGTACCGCATGGCTGCAGGAAGCACAGCTTCAAGCCACGCAGAAAGACCTCATCAGCAACAACTCCGTCACTGAGCTCGTTATGACCCGCTTTCAGTCTCTGAAAGCTGCAGACCGCACAACGGCTTGTGTCCCCTCGCGGTTTGAGTTAAGAGTGGTGCGTCTACTTTTGTCTAACCTAGATCCTGCAACTCGGGTTCCGGGCTTAGATTACCCTAGCTAGACCCTCCAAATACCCTTTCTCAGGCCTAAGTACCCACTTCTAGGGGTCTAACCCCGATTAAGGGTACCAGGAGCGTCCTGGTAACATAGAGAAGTATGCGTAGCTGGATTATAGACCCCAATAATGTAATACTTTCCGTCTTCTTTGCTCAGTTCTTTCATTCCTTGCCACGCTCCCCCGAACTAACATGAAACCCGCTTCCATGTCATCTTGGGGAGTCTGAGAACCAGCAAGTTTATTGGAGGGTCGAACTCGAGGCTTACTCGCTCTTCGGTGGGTGCCCTTCATGGCCTTAATGTGCAACCCTGAAGAATCATCAATACTATGGTCCTAGATTCCTTGTATAGTTTTGGTGAAGGGTGCCTCAAATAGATCTCAACATCAGACTGGTAGTTATTTGGCCCGTATAGTTCTCGAATACTTACAATTGAAATCTTGAAGACATTTGTGTGGAGCAAGTCTTGCACACCCCGGGTTTGAGGTTTAGGGTTTAGGGTGGGTTCAGGTTAAGGATTTAGGATCCCGGGAATTGCAGTAGCTTGGGCAGCTACAGTGGTGGAGCAATTCCATTGGGGGGCATGTAATCGTGGGAGCGCGCCCTAAACTGTGAACTCGAAACCCCAAAATGCAAGCCCTGAACCCCACAAATATGCTCTCAACTCTACGCATCATGGCCAGAAACAGAACGCTAAATGAAACCCTCTGCCCCAAACGCTAAACGCAAAGGGTCACATTTGGGCTCCAAATTCGGTAGATGGGAACCCCTTGGGGGCTTAAGGACATACCCTGAACCCTAAAGGCCTAAACCTGCAGACGCTAAACCCTGAATCCTATGCTATATGGCTGCATGAGCGCGTTCCCAAAGGGTCCAGGTAGCTATTGGGGAATTGAGTATATACTATACACCTACCCAAAACCCCAAACCCTTTACTTTGGGTACTGCCCCCACCCAGTAACAGTCTATATTAGGGGTCATATTAAGGGCTATATATAACCAAGTTATAGATTTTATCCAACTGTTACTGAG